AAGAACTCTGCAATTAGATTAACTCCTGCTTGAGTAAATTGTTACAGAAGACTTGGAGTAAATTAGAAGTTATTCATGCTGCTTCGTTTAGCGAGTAGCTCATAATATTTAGAAATAGAAAACCAGATTGATTTTAGATATGCTAATTTCTAAAATAAGAATCAAATAGTGATTATCTCACAGCATTCTGATCAAGATATATCAAAATAACAAGCCCACAGGTGTTAATTGTTATTGTCTTTATGATTCTTTATTCTTAGAACATAATTATTCCATATCTCTTAGGTGCCAGTTGCTGCTGTAGTAGGCGCTAGGGATACAATGTAAATAAATTAGTGAAGGGAAACAGGGGACACACAAACTAGAAAAATAACTTTCAGTGAGATGGTAAAAAGCAGGCAGGAAAGGGTAATATGGTCAAAGACGTTCTCTCTGAAGAAGTGATTTCAAGCTGAGAACATTTTTTCTAAAGACCTAATTCTCTCAATATCCAGGTTACAAGTAAGATTTTCTTAGTGAAAATGCAGTTATTTTCTGGGGACCTGTGATAGAAATTGATTTTATCATAGGTTCCCTTTATCCTAGAGGCACTAATATGAAGGACTGCAGAATTTACAAGTTTCTTTCCCCACAAATGGCTCTCTGTCTCATTCCCCATAGAGTTAACACATCAAACATCATACGGAATTTACCAAGGAAATTGTTAGAGTGTGTGCGTTTTTATTGCATGTTATTTTTGACTCTTTCATTATGTACCTTGCTAAAATTCTTAATGGAATAATTCTCCCAATAGTTGAGGTTATGTCTCTCCTTGTAGATCTAACAAGGAGAGAATTATGACACCCAGCAGGGCTCTGGATAAATATTTAAAAGGCCACTTTAAACTTTAATTTAATCATGTACATTACAATAATCCTGAAAAACATTCTCAGTAGCATTCATTGAGAATTTACCGGAATATTGTGCACGCAGAGTGACATCTGGCCTGGCTAATGGAAAATGTCTGTCGGGTTGTCCAGGATTATTATCCAGGCCTTTGTGATGGTGGTCTTGGTAGTGTATTGTGAGGTGTGGTTTGAAAAAGTCTCTTTATATCCTTTTTTTCCTCATAGGTCCTTTTATTTACTGCCATAAGAATACTTCTTAATTAGGAACTTGTTTACAGTTTTCAAACATCAGTCCCTTGGATTTATTTAAAAATGGTTTTATTTTTAAAGCTGTTTCCAAATGCTACCTTTGAATTGGGCAGTTCTTATTTCTATTGATCCTTCAAGGTGTCTTGTGAAGTTGTAAGACTGTCAGTGTGTAACACATACTTTTTTACTTTTCTGTAAATTTAATAAAATCGTATTTGAAGTATAAATATTTATTCTAATATCACCACAGATTGAGGCCCAGATTCTGTCAGTATTTTTGTGCAACATAATCACATTGCAATGCAAATTTCTGGTTTTTATGTAAGATTCTTTTCTTAACCAAGACCGTCCTGAGGTAAGGACTCTAGAGTACCCATCTGTTTACTCAGTAAGCATCTCTTGAGCACCAACTACATTTCAGACTAGGTACCAGTGACACAATAATGAAATATAAATGGCTTGTAGTTTGTAATCTAATAGGATAGGTAACATTAAATGAGTAATCTTTTAATTTGTAGTTGGGTAAATGTTATATAAAGCAGGAACCTAAGGTAGCCTGAGAAGGTGAAGTATTAAGCTGTGACCTGAAAAATAAATAGAAGTTATCCAGGCCTAGAAATAGGAAGCTCATCCCAACATGCAAATGCCCTATGTTGTAGAAGAACCTGATGGGTTCAAGGAACAAGACAAGTTTGGATGCAGACAATTTTATATGGAGGAAAACAAGTGAGATATATCTGAAGGAGGTATACAGGGGTCAGATCAGGTGGGCCAGGCTGAGGATTTTGGACTCAGTTAAAACAATGAGAAGTTATTGCAAGGTGCTGAAAGGGAAATTATACAGTTGGATTTGTGTTTGGAAAATGTCATTCAGGTTGCAAGAGGGGGAAACATGATGAAGATAAATTGTCAGGTTAGAGTAATATTTAAGAGATTGTGAATTGATTAGAAATTGATGCAGAGTGAAATGAGAGAGAGGAGATGTAAAGGATTACTTCTGGTTTCTGGCATGGATTGTGATGTGTTTTATTGGGATGAGCAGCTCCTGAGGAAAAGAAGGTTGGGGGCAAGATAATGACTTCAGTTTTGAACATGTTGAGTTTGAAAAGCCTTGAAGAGATCCCAGTGGACATGTATTGGAGTTGAATGTATGGAGTTGGAAGTGTTGGGCCTGGAATACAAGAAACGTCTGGGCTAGAGCCTGCATGCATCTGTAGCATACAGTTGATAAATGGAGTATTGAAATGGACAGCCCAAGAACAAAATGTGGGCTCTCTGACGTGTTAAGGTTAAGTAGAGGAGGAAAAGCTGGCAAAGGGAAATTATCAGAGTGTGATGTCACCAAAGCTGGTGGACAATAACAATTCAAAAAGGGGATAGTGATTAAGAGCACCAAGACGCTGAGTGTGATGCATACTCAACAGTGCATGTTGGGCTTAATGCATAAGGTCATTAATGACCTTAGAAGATAGATTGATGTGGTTTGAGAAGTGAGATGTGAGGAAGTAGAGATAAATAACTTCTTTGAGAAGTTTGGCTATGAAAGGGAAAAGAGTGAACAGGAGTAAAGGGAAATGTAGGTTCCAAGTCGAGTTTTCAGCTTTTGTTCTCTGTTTTGTTTTGTCTTTGTTTCTTTGTTTCTTTTTTTTTTTATTTTAGTCATTGTTCCAGTATGGTTTTCTGCCTTTTGTTCCCATTCCAGCCCACCCACCCATCCGTCCTCACCTGCCTCCCACTTCCACCCCCCGTAGTTTTTGTCCAGGTGTCCTTTTTATTTGTTCCTGTAAACCCTTACCATTCTCCCCTGAAATTCCTTCTTCTCTCCCCTCTGGTCACTGTCAGCCTGTCCTCTATTTCATTGTCTTTGGTTATATTTTGCTTGTTTGTTTGTTTTGTTGTTTAGGTTCCTGTTAAAGGTGAGATCATATAGTATTTGTCTTTCACTGCCTGGCTTATTTCACTTAGCGTAATGCTTTCCAGCTCCATTCATGCTGTTGCAAAGGGTAGGAGTTCCTTCTTTTCTTTTTATAATGGGGGAAACTGAAGTATGTTTATGAAATGTTGGTAGAAATGTTGCAAGCTCAGCTACTTCGAGCCAAGTGGTGGAAGTTGGTGGAGTTTGGGGGAGTGTAGAGGAGCTCAGGTGGTATTGAAAACAGTAAGTAGTTTTGGTAACAACCTGCACTGTTGTTTAGTTTTTTCCTAGGACAACTTAGCTACACAAAACCCAGAACAGGAGCATAGTACATTTGTCCCATAGTTGCATTTTGTTTTTGCCACAGCTACTTTTGATAGAAGGTCAGAGAAGAAAGGGAATTTATTTGTGACAGAGAGTCAAATACCAGTTGTTAGACTGTAAGACTGGTTGATAGGCTGTAAGTCAAGGGAAGGGGGTACTGATGACTGATGGTGAGAAAAGAAGGGAAATTAGTGGCCTGGGAATTTCAGTGATGTTGAAAAATCATTAGGAGTTGTGTGGGATACCTGAGCAAGCAATTTGGAAGGTTAGGCTTTTGTAGTCAACTGGCTATTTGCTTAGTGATTTTAGAAGCGGTGTCATGTTGATGATGACAAGACCAGAGGGTCTTCTTTGTGTGTGTGTCTAGATGGATTCAAGGAAGAAACCACTGGAAATAAGTTTGTTAATGATCTCGAGGGCAGCATACTGGATGGTACAACTGTGGGCATCAAGGGTACCTTGGGTGACCTCTGGAGCTGGGACAGAGTGGAACACAGTGAGTGGGGGTGGCAGTCTTTTCTGAGTCATGCAGTGACAGAGGAAGATGGTGCCAGTAATGAGAGGGCCAGTGATGAGGGAGCCCCCAGCGTCAACCTCAGAACAACAGGAGTATTAAATAATGTGAAAGAAATGTAGTCTATAAGAGGTGCTGGGAAGAAAAGAGGGCACTGACTTCCCTGCCAATTCTGAGACACATGGAGTGTGAGAAAATGAACATTTTCTCCTGAAGAAAGCTGCAGAATGCACTGTTTTCAACTAACAGCCAAATGAAGCTAGAGCTAGATAATGGAGAAAATATTGAAATGAGGACAAGGAAATAGGGAGTTTGCACGGGAAATGAAAGTATGAAAGCTGGGGATAGAGAAGGAAAGTGTGGGGTTGTCAGGGAAATAAGGCCCAGATGGCTTGACAGTATGGGATAGAACATTCTAGGAGCTCATATCTATGTTGGGGAGAGGGGAAAGAGAGGGGGAGCCGACTGAGGAAAATCATGTAACAGAGCAAAGGGGATTAAATTGAAGTCCTTTAGACATGGATTGCCTCCTGTGCTTCACAAAATGCATCTCTGGCCTGAAGTGGTTATGTATATTATAGTATATAGAGTGGTGTGGTATGGTGTGGGTCAGGCAGTTCTGACTTCAGCTAGCTGATTGAGGAAGCTTGGGCAGGGCCAAGTTTGCTGTCTTTGGCATGCCCCTGTACTAGCCCAGGTCCTGGTCAGTGCTCAGCACAGCAGGCACCCTTGCTGTGGCGGAGTGGGAGTGTGCAGGGACCAGCACACCGTACCTCACCCCTCACATTCTTACCTCATGACTGTCTTGCTTTTGCCAGTATTATTCTCTGAAAGAGATTAAGTAAATCTTCTCATGTCTTTTATTTAAAATTTCTGCAGTACTGGTTTAATTTGCTCTGCCCCTTATATTAGTTGCTGTTAATGTTATCTATTATAACGATGATATTTTCTGCTAACTCATATTATAAAACACCACAAGTACCCAGTAAGTGTTTTTGGTAATAATTTGTTTTTAATTTGTAAAGTCTTAATGAGTATCATTTACATATTTTAGTCTTTCCAGTTCTTTACTAAGGGTGTTTTCAAGGTTATGTTCTTTTACTTCCTGAAGGAGCAAATGATGTGAAAACCATTCCAGGTCAAGCTGTTTGTCCTACCCCAGGGTGCCGAGGAATAGGCCATATCCGTGGTCCAAGGTATTCAGGACATCACAGGTAAAATTTTTTCTTCTTTAAATTATTTCAGGGATAAATTAAAACATTGTGCAAATTAGCAGCTATAGACGGCATCATAAATGACTTGCTTGGAGTCAGACAACTCCCTGTCCTACTGCCTTCTCTGTTCCTAAAGTCCTTCCTTGATATTTCCTCCTGTCTGCCCACCTCTGCCTTCCTGGAGCCTTTTTGGACTTCGAGGCCTTGCCCAGACCCACGTCACTTCCCAGCACCTCTGCTCTCTAACCATTTCTTATGCGCACCCCCCTTAGGATATACTTGCCACTCTAGGTCCCATCCCAGTCCTGAATTTTCTGCACACAGCTGTTGAGTCTTACTTTCTTTAGAGAAATTCCAGGACCTCTTGCCTTTTTCCCTCTTGTTTTCACCTTGTCCCTATTTCTTTTTCTCTATTTCTTACTCATTTGGAGATGAGATAAATCTTGGTTAGAATAGAAAATAATACATGTGAAGTTATATTGCAAAATATACTTATTCTTTAAGTATTTGATATCAGTATGGGAAGGATAGTGCTTATAATGAAAAATAAGTACAAATAAATGTATATAAGCTTTTTCTGTCCCAGTCGGTAAAATAATGCATAGGTGAATTATTTATATTGATGATCTAGTTGCAGAATATTTCAATTAAAATGGACAGAATTGTCATCAAACTTGTCCAATAAACAATTTTTTAAAAAAATCATAGGAAAGTATAAAGAAAAAAAGAATAAATCATAACATGTGAAGCAAGAAAACATCTGTTTCAATAAAAGAGATCCAAATAGAAGTTCTAGTTTTTTCAGTTGGTTACAGTTCTGGGAAGCTATACTTGAAACGGTTCTAAACAAATCAAAACACATATTATTGTAAGAAATAATGGTAAACACTCCCAAATAGCATACATGAATGTTACATATATAAATATAATACTGACATTAACATTTAAAGGAGAAGAATATACTATAGTATCCATAAAAAGAAATAAACTGAAGACATACAGACACCTTAGTTACCTGTGAAATGTGTAGGAGTTGTGGGTGAGAGTGAGGCTGGACCTGGTGGGATGTTGTAGTGTTTTATGAGGGAAGGAGGAAAAGAGAGTAAAGGACACATGGAGGATGGGAAAGAGGGAGCATTGTCATCTTTGGGAGGGTGGTCTGTGTTAGGGATGACCTTGTCAGACTTAATGGATCCACTTTCCAGACCACTGGGGCATGTTTTTAAATCTAGAACTGCAAAGTCCAATATGGTAGTCTGTCGTGATCACCTGCCGGCGGTGACCACGGAACACTGTGGATGGCTCATCAACACGCGAGAAAAACATACACAAAGACAACCAAGTCCTGTGGGGAAGTAGGAACAGAATGGCCACTCTCTCTGGTGGGGAGAGCGCCCCATTCCCCCTCCAGAGAGGCTTTTTATTGGTTTCGTTTGCATAAGAATTCAGGTAAAGTTCATTACTCATTGCTAGGAAGTAAGGATCAAACAATAGATAACAAGGAAGTCTGAGGGCCTGTTTTGAGTCAGGGTCAAAGAGCTGTAAAACTTTGAGGAATAAACTTACTTCTTCCTTGAACCCTTATCATTCAACTGAGAGCATTCTAAACAAAGCAGGTTTCACAGGATTTTACATATTCTTTCTTAGGCCTGATCACCCAGGGAATCCGCCCTTTTCAGCACAGAGCTGTACCACCCTGTCATTGTTTCAGGCTTAGGTGGAGCAAGGGAAGTAAGGCAGCCAAGGGATAAGGAGATTTTCTCCCAGAGGATGAGGACTCAGGCTATATCACAGCCGAGGAGCAAGGGTCCATCACCCCCTTTTGCTGTAGCCCCCAAAGTCCTTTCTTGGGGGCCTCCCACGTGATCGTGCCTGTGTTAAGTCATTCCCCCCTTGGTGAATCTTACCTGTCATTGGCTAACCGACCAAGCTTTGGGGTTCAGTTATGAATGAAGCAGCAGAAGCAGTGCTCCTGCCAGGAGAGTAAGCTTTTGTCTCCTTGCTGGCTTACGGTCCAAGGCAACTCCCTCAGCCTTAACCTTGGTGGGGGTTACAGCTTCTGATACCAGGCAGGGCGGTCCCCAACAGTAGTCACTAGTCACATGTGTCCATTTAAATTAAACAATAACTGGAGTTAAATAAAATTAAAATTTTAGTTCCTCACTTAGCTACATTTTAGGTGTTTGGTAATCACCTGTGGCCAGTGACCAGCATACTGAGCAGCAGAGAAAATTCCTTAATGAGAGCCCTAAAAGGTAGTTTTCCATGTTCTGACTTCTCGTACATTTCTGAGTGCATGTTTTTTCCATATGAAACAACTGGCCATCTGACTGTCTCTTCAAAACTGGAATCATTATACTTGAAGTTAGCTGGACCATAATCTTGCACTTGTCTTGTCCATTAGCACACTCTGGAGTTTACTGTCCCATAACACTGGGCTGAAGTAACAAGTACCACCCTGGAAAGCTCTTTAAGATCACCGCCTTAGCTCACTCACTGAGACCAGTTCTTCTATTTCATCAGAACAGATTTGCCTTCCACACTGCTCTGATGTGTAGTTTATTCCCCTTTCCCTACTTGGATTCTGAAAATATTGTGAACAAAGTCACAATAGGCATGTTCTACTTTGTTCCAGCAGCTCCCCTGAGCTCTTTTCATCCAGTATGGAGTTTAACTATTCATACTTGTAGTATCTAATTATGAATAATATTGAGAATCTCTGACATGATTTTTTTGACCAAGTGGCCTTTAATGGTTGACCTCAGAACTTCTGAAGAAACTAGAGTGTAAAAATAAAGAATAGTTTAAAGAAGGCATTCTATGATGCTTAGAAAAAAAGAAATACTGAACACATGTGATAGAAGAGTGGGACATTCTAAGGGAACTAGAAGGCACAAGGCATTATATTTCCAGACCTTACAATTCACAAAGCTGCTCCAGGTGAGACCTCTGGGCCTGGGTCATGGCTCTTCTCCTGTCCTAACTTTGGTTATGTCAGAGCAGGGCTCTTGCAAGTGAGCGAAACATCTTCAAAAGCTGAACAATTCCGTTATCTCAGAAAAGCAAAGCAAAAAGTGATGAGTGCCTGCAGTTTGCATTTCTCTAGAATGAGAAAGACTACAAATTAAACAAATGGATGTTTCTTAAACTTGCATTTCCATGTAGAACTTTTAAGATATTTAAATAATCAGGTAAATAAATTCTAACCTACCTATGCAGAGAAGAACAGAGAGATAACTTTTATTTAACAATATTTTGCATTAAAGAATTGAGGAAAAACTTGGGGGAGTTGATGTTGATTATATAGAAATTACTGGAAGTGGAAGTCAGGTGGTCTAAGGTTGCCTGTAGGTGCTAGGCATCTCTCTCTCTCTTGTTTTCATCATTTTCAGTGACAGGTCTCTTTATCAAGTCTAGCTTTGTGGTGCTAGAGTTACTCATTGACTGACTGTACTCATTTTCAGTTAATACACTGATTTTTTTTTTAAAAGCAATAGTTCTTAATTTAGGTCATCAGATGTTGAACATCATTTTCAAGTTAGTCCATTTACTTAGGTAACTAAGTGTATAACTTAAGAATTTATTTAAATCCTTTTATAACTAAATGGGAAAAATTATTTTGATATCATAAATTCTTGGGTTTGTTTTTATGTTATTTCTATTTTGTAGTCTAAATTTTACATATCTCTAAAAGGTGAAAAATATTGTTCTTCAGTATGTGTCTTTGGTGATATCTGTTGAGAATATTATGCAAACACACACATACACTCACACACACATTCCTACCTAACTACACCTGCTAGAAATTTGCCATAACACACCCAAAGTTATCATATATTTTGCTTCTTATATGTTAATGATAATTTAAAAATGTTACTGTATTTCCTACTGTAATGTTACTGTAAATCCTACTGATGTAGGATTCTCCCAGAATCCTACATCATCTCTACCTTGAGTTTCCCAAAGCATTTAAATTAGTAAAACTTGCATATTCCAAAATGAAAGTCTATTTTTTTCTCTTGTCCTAGATTTGTATCTTTACCAAAGAGTGATCATTCTGCAAGATGCTTTTTACAGTTTCTGCCCAGAAGATTCTTAGGCAGATATTCTTACCCTCAAAAGAGACAAAAACAATAAAACCAGGAAACTCCCAGGGTTGTTTTTTTTTAGGTTCTTTTTTAAAATTGTTGTTTAAATATAGTTTCCTCCTTTTCCCACCACCACTTCCCCTGCTCGACCCAACCCCGTCTCCCACCCTCATCCTACCCTCCTTTGGCTTTGCCCAAGGGTCCTTAATACATGTTCCTTGATGGCTCTTTCCCTTACCCCTTCCCTTCCCTTCTGGTTACTGTCAATTTGTTCTTTATTTCAATGTCTCTGGTTATATTTTACTTGCTTGTTTTGTTGAATAGGTTCCACTTTTAGATAAGATCATATGGTATTTGTCTTTCACCAGTTCTAAACAATCCATGCAACCCAGTGTTCACAGCAGCACAATTTAAAATAGCCAAGTGATGGAAACAATTTAAGTGCCCATCAGTAAATGACTGGATCAAAAAACCATGGTACATTTACACAATGGAATACTGTTGGGGACCTCTCTGTGTGGTTTCAGAGACTGTAGCCCCGTGAGAGCAAGTCCTGAAAGGGGCTAGTAAGTGTCCCTGGAAAACCAGGTAAAAACACAGGTGGCAGGCATGACCTGACTCTTAACACCCAGAGTTCCTGTGGGAATCAGGCCTGATGAATACATTGTATCCTTTGAAGCTTGCTTTGCTTGGTATAGCCCTGTCAATATAAATCAGATGTTTAAGTTCAAGGCAGAAGGACTAAGCTCCTTATCTCATGAAACACGACTTAAAGACCCTCTGGCGTCAGCATGACTAACAGACCCTGACCAGTGACAGATCTCAGTGCTTCTTCAATTGTTATCTATAGATAATACCTGTTTTTGTATGACTGTAGCCTTTTTGACCTTGATTGATGAACTAGGCATATAT